AACATGGCCCCCTGTTTTTCTGCTTTCAAAACTGTATGGCGGATATGCTCAGAAAAGCCTCCTCCCGCTTAGAAAACAATACCCAAATATTTTATTGTTTTCTTTGGTACAATTATATTTTGTTTCACATGAAAACGTGCACTGCGTGATTTTCGGTTACCAACCAAAATAACTGCCTCCGTTTGTGCGGCGCTATTTCTAGTCCCACCTCATCCATCCATGAGCACACCTGCTCCGATGCTCTTTCCGCAGTTCTAACGAGGTCTTCGGTATATTTAGCCTTTACCATCAGCGCAACATCATCTGCATGTGCTATGACTTCTACTTCTGCTGGATATTCCATATGAAGGAGTCCATCATACAGTACGTTCCATAGTAAAGGACCAAGTATAGATCCCTGAGGTACACCTTTAGATACTTTAACTTCTGCATCCTCTACAATAACGCATCTTTCGCTTAGATAAGCTTTTATAGTTTCAACTAAATATAAACTTATTTTCCAAAGATCTGTAAGCTCATTGATTATATTTTTCCAGTTAGTCTTATTCTCTTTGAAAAGCATTCATTAATGAAAGTTTAAATTCGTTTGACAACTTGTAAGGTCTTATGCACTATTATGCAGTATACAGATTTTTTTGCAAAAGCATTGATTCAAACATTTTAAAAAAAAATATGTGTGCACTATGTGCGCATATTTGAAGTGAAACTTCTTACTTCCGTCTGTCTGTCTGTCTGTGCATCTGGCCGTCTGAGGACTCCATTCGGGTACCTCTATCCACGTGTCGAGTTTGGTTCCAATCGACCCATAATTAAATATCGACCCATAATAAAAATAAACCCATAAATAAAAAAACCTGATGATTTCGTCCATTTAGAGGCTTTTGCATTTTTGGTTCAACACGTCGAGGGCGTCATCCTGTAGCCCGTCCTCAATTATGCCAAAATCGACCAACATTTTTCTTCAGTATAAAATCATTAGTCCCACCCTGATGAAGATGTAAACGAAACGTTGTATCCAACTTTGGAGGGACTGTAGTATGCACCGTCGCTCATATAGCCTACGCTACGCACCCAATTTAGTCTCGATCGGACGACATCAACTTTTGACGTTTCTTACGTCAAAACTATCTGTCACAATGACACGTGTCGTACACGGTCAAGTTGGCCTTGGTCCAATATATCGACTCACCAAATTCCATTTAAACCGGAAGATTTTTTTATTTGATTCATTGATGATGGGGTTTCGTAGTGCACGAAATATCATCAAAATATCTTGAAAAGATGGAGCTCTTCAGCCTCCTAGCTTACATAGAGTCCATTAAATCGGACGAATTTTTCGTCCTTGATGATGGGGTTTCATAGTGCACGAAACGTCGGTAAAATATCATGAAAAGCGAAGAGCGCCATCTACATTCCAAGTTTCAGCTCCCTAAATCGTTATCACTTTTCCTCTCGCGTCTCATGTGTCACGACCTTCAATTTTAGCTCCCATCGCGCGTAAAGTAGTTTCACTTTAATAAAGGTGGATTCATATACACGCGAATTGTGAAATACGAATTGCGAAACTGTCGTTTATGGGCAGATAAAGCAAACACTGCATGAGGGAGAACTATACTCAATACCCAGAGAAATGGATTTAAGGTTTGGGCGGGACTATACTCAGTGCCAGAGAAATGATTTTAACGTTTGAGCGGGCATTATTGGTAAACCAAATTAAACCAAACCAAACTAAATCAGTAGTAATATCAACCATAATCCAAATGGCCAGACGTACTTGCAGTATTTAGGAGCATTTCAAATCTGGCAATTTTATTACCCGATGCTCTTTTTAGAAAGATTTCTGTAGAAATATCTGCTTTCTGTAGAAATATTATGTTTAGAAGTTTTATGTAAAAGTATGAGCAACTTAAAGTAATAATTAAAATGTTGAAGCATTTTGTTTAAGTTGTGTATTTGATATAATGAATGTTTATTCCACTTTAAATACATACACTGTACTTATACCAACATTGCAAGATTTATAAAGAAATATATCATTCTAAATTTTTATGCACAGTGAAGTGGATACGTATCAGCTAGTATTGTTATAACCATAACAAGAAATAAATGACAACAGATAACATATTATAATCTAAAAATTCAAAATTCGCAGCGAATATTCGCAAAAATTAAATCAGTCAATATTCCCGCCACCGGATGTTTTTTATGCGAATTCGCAAAATATTAAAAGAACTTTCTGCCAATCTTGCCGTCTCCGTATTTTTTTGAAATCGACCAATAACAGCAATATTCGCAATTCCCGTGTATATGAACTTAGCATAGCATAACAATACATATAGCCGATTTAATTATCTGATAAATGTCTTTCACATTCAAGTATAATACGTCGAAAATTATCTGTTCATTATTTAGAGCTTTTTATCGACTTATCGATTTTCCATCTTGCTAAATTACGTAGGATGTCGTTTCTCACTTCGATCTAAGTATTTGCATTTGTAAATAATGCATGCTTTAGACTTTTGGAATAATCGAATTGACAGATAATGCCTGAATATAAGGCGCTTAAAATAAGCCGTATGTAGTTAGTAACACATCAGTTTTAGGGACGTCTGGAGGTTTACTTGAGAAAAAAAATGATCATTCTTTAACTAATTCTATTTATTTCAAACACGCGCTAGATGCTGCAAAACCACGAGAACAAGCAGGCTTTAGAAGCAGCTTCAGCACGATTCATCACATACATGCGCTAAGGAAACTATCAGCCGAACAAAAGAATACGAACTTCCACTAGCCATAGCCTTTATAGACCTTGAGAAGGTTTTCGACTCGATATATCCTAAGGCAATAATAGAAGCCCTAGCGAATAAAGGTATTGATAGGCCTTACATAGAAACTCTCGTCAATATATACAAAGAAGCTAAAGCAAGAGTAATGATATATAAAACAACCCCAGAGTACTAAACTGGCAAAGGAGTAAGAGAGAGACGCAATATCCCCAAAGCTGTTTACAGCAACACTAGAAGAAATCTTCCGTTAACTAGACTGGACCAACAAAGAATTAAAAATAGATGGAGAATATCTTAACCATCGAAGATTCACTGATGACATAGTCCTAACGAACAAAAAAATGTTTAACGTTTCGGAAAGTTTATCTCTTTCCGTCGTCGGAAGCAAAAAAAATACAAAGAATAAAGAAAAAAAAACTATTTAAAATATTGAAATGCATTTATTCGAGAACATTTTAGTTTTTTTTTAAACAGATAAGTCTACAATAACCGTTGACGTTCCGTTAAAATGACATTATATCAAGTTAAACTTCAAAATTAACAATTACTACACTGATAACAATTACTTAATAAGGTAAAACTAAAAAGCCTCAAACTTTCTGTATGATTATTTTTAATTTGTTTTTAATTTTTACGTATGTTATGTTCATTTATGTTATGTCCTTTAACATCAAAGAAGCGATTGCCATACATTACCAATATCTACAGATGCATGAGCAATACATTTATTTTTATTAGATTGTATTAAAAAATCTTCTTTTAGTTTTCTTTTAGAGGCTATCGCTTCTTTCATTATAATTTTGGCATTGTTAAAATTTATTCTGTGCCCTGTGTCCCATGAATGCTGACAAATCTTAGATTTGTGAAAATCTCCCTTTCTTAAATAATCTTTATCAACGGTTTTTGTAGACTTATCTGTTTAAAAAAACTAAAGTGTTCTCGAATATTTGCATTTTTGCCCGTTTTTCGTGCCGGTGAGTGCAGATTGATGTGATGAAAAAAGAAACTGCTGGACAACCAAGGCCGACAATCAACTTGGCCCAATAAAATGTAAAATCGCTTATTTCTGGGGCTTACTCAACCGGGTCTCAAAATGCAAATTCACCTCAAATATCCATTTAGTTGGTCATTGGCAAGCACTCTCTCATTGTACATGAAAATAACAAAACAAACATTTACTGATCTAGATAAAATTGATAGTTAAATAGTAAAACTCACCCGGGGGTACTCCGCCCCCTAGCCACTGACATCACTGACATTCTATTCAATATATCCCATTCCATGTCTTCCATCTAATTCAAATATTATTCGGATCTATTGGTTATTAATCTTCAACAGATTTGCATCCTAATCGAATAGGTTAATTGGGGTACCTCACTACCCCAACGCCGCATCGTGTCAATCGAGAAGACAAGGGAGACCTCAAACTCTCAAGACCAACCTCGAAGGCAAGTCGTCACAAGAGGTTTTCTTCTCAATGGTCAAACGACCCGTTGCCTTACAGTACATGCAACTTTTATAGTCAAAAGACTCGCAACCCCCAAATGTCAGTTCTATGACAAAACACAGCACTACAGCCGGCCGGCCCGTCTACTATTGACCCGCCGCCGCCTGCAAGCTAAGCCTCCTCTTACATCACAATTTTACCTGATCACAAATATTTACATCGCTTGCCAATGAATCATACTATTTTCTCTAATCGACTTTCAAATAGAGTGTTTTAGCATTACTAGATAAATAAATAGAGAGTTTCCGAAGGAATGCATATTCTTTATTATAATAGTGAATAAATAAAAGCATTATTATAACAAACTTATTTTCCAAGTTTTACAAAAATTATATCTTTACTCTTAACTTGAATTTTCTTCAGATCCACCTAAAGGCATTATCGTTTTTTTGGTGCGGAGACAAAATAATGCCGGGACCCCACTAGGCCACACGCCACGCGACGCTACACTATTCCACGTGAGTCCACGTGTTGCGACGTAGGGAAGAGTGTACATATTATGAGATCTGGGACAGACGAATCGCCCATCACGTGTGATAGCGTGGGGTGGCATGTTGGGTCGTGTGTGTAAGCAATACATGTAATTAAATGGAAAAACACACGCACAGATCTTCAAGACGTGGGGTGGCATGGCGTGGCGTGTGGCGTAATGGGGTCCCGGCGGAACACTTACTTTCCGTCAATTGAATTAATTTGTTTGTTTCCAGGCCTGACTATGTTCGGTGACAGATCGCCCGACGTTGCCAACCGGCAAAGTGACAGCTCGGCGAGCCCCACGACGACGTCGTCCAACAAAGCCAACAACGACAACAACAAACAAATAAATTATGAAAATTACGAGGATCCCTTCTACAAGGAACAGCCCAACTCTATCCTGTCCTCGCTAGGCAGCGTCCTGGTCGTCATTAGCACAGCTTTAATTATTTTCGCGGCTGCCAGAAACACGATTACATGGTAAACAAATTTGCATTTTGTTATTTTGCGGCCAAAATCGCTTATTTCGATCGCGATGCGTTCGTTCCCAGGTATTTTAGTAATTATCTCGTTTGTGTATCGGGGCTTTAGATAAAAAATATAGTAACGCTTTGTCTTTTTTCATTGATTTGTGTATCGAAATCTTGAACTAGGTAGCGTTTGCAAAGCAGTCACCAAAAAATATCTTTGTTAAAGATCAAAGATCTTACATAGGATTAGCGTTAAGCCGCGTCTACTTATAACGATTTACCTTTCATCTTACCTGTTCAGTCAAATCGTATCAAGTAAAACCTTGTGTATAGACTACTGATATTTACAGGGTGGTCCGAACTGTATTTCGGAAACTTCGGCCAGTGTATTCTGCAGATAAAAATGATTCATTTTTATTTCGATTTTTTCCAAATAATTTATGAAGTAACATCAATATTTGGATAAAAATTGGTGTCTGGGAGTTTTTTGACATGATAAATTTGATGAGAGATTTGAAGGGCGCCATCGACAAATTTTATTAACGGGTATAAAACTACCGAGTAAAAAAATATACATTCACGAGTTTTTTTACGTAAAAAGGTCTCTTGGTAAAAATTGCTACGATTAATGGGTTTCGAGATATTTGGAATGGAAATTGTGAACACCTATCATCATTGACAAGTTGTTAGACTGAAATAATTCAATTTGAATTTTTTTTTGAGCCAAACATTCAACAAGTTTTATGATATTTTTTTTGCAGACAAATTTATGATTAATTTAAAAAAATAAAAATTTTCCAAATTTATTATGTCAGTCAAATAACTATCTATTGTTTATTTTTTGTCAATTTCTAATAACTATCTATTGTTCATTTTTTAACTATCTAGTGTTTGCTTTTTGTCAATAATGACATGTTTGTATTGACTATTTCCATTCCAAATATCTTGAAAACGGTTGATCGTAGCGATTTTTGTACATTTTTTACGTAAAAAGTCACGAAAATGTATATTTTTTTCACACAGTAGTTTTATACAGGTACCGACGAACAGTTATTACTATTCAAAACAGTTAATACACATGTAGGTGGCGCCCCCTTTAAATAGTTGTCATATTGACATCAAAATCATATTTCTCACGTCAAAAAACTTCCAGACACCAATTTTCATCTAAATATTGACGTTACTTCAGATATTTGGAAAAAATGAAAATAAAAATGTAACTTCTATACTCTGCATCTCCGAAACTAAGCATTTTAGGACATACACTTATACGAACTTTATTATTTTTATCTACAGAATATGCTGCCGAAGTTTCCGGAATACAGTCCAAACCACCCTGTATACTAGATTATTTAGATAAAAAATACTAAATCCATTAATTATTATTATTATTCGCAAAATTTTAGGGTTAATGGAAAAAGTTTGTTAACCTTCTTCTTCTAATTGAAGATGACTACCGCTAATTTTGGCGTTCTGAATGTTTATATTGAAATTAGAAGAACCAACTTCTACGCTAATTGAAACCACTAATTTCGAGGTTCTTAAGGAAGGTGTATATCAATAAAACTATCGCAATCACTATGAAGCCTTAATATTGCCGACTTCCAGTAATTCCAGTTTATTAGTGACGTATAAGCGATGTAGAAACAATTTTACATCACTGTATAGTTATAAAAAGATATCGTAAAAAAGCGACGTTGTTCAACAAAATCCATTTATTCAAAAATTTAGATAAAAGATATTATCTAGTTTCAGATTGGTTAAAAAAGGAGATAAAAATAGAAAAAGGACAAAAATAGTATACAGGGTGGTCCGAACTGTATTCCGGAAACTTCGGCAGCATATTTTACTGATAAAAATAAGTAAAAAAGTTATATACATATATGTTCTAAAATGCTTAGTATTGGAGATACAGGGTGTAGAAGTTTAATTTTTATTTCGATTTTTTACAAATAATTTCTGAAGTAACGTCAATATTTGGATGAAAATTGGTGTCTGGGAGTTTTTTGACATGAAAAATTTGATTTTGATGTCAATATGACTCCTCTTTGTAGGGGGCGCCACCTACATGTGTTTTAACTGTTTTGAAGAGTAATAACTTTTTGTCCGTACCTGTATAAAATTACTCAGTGAAAAAATATACATTTACGCGATTTTCTACGTAAAAAATGTCTCTTGGTAAAAACCGCTACGAGCAACCGTTCTCAAGATATTTACAATTGAAATAGTCAATACATGTCATTATTGACTAAAAATAAACATGTTGAGTAGATAGTTATTGACAGTAGACTGAAATGAGACATTTGGGAACTTTTTATTTTTTTAAAATAACCATCAATTTTTCTTCGAAAAAATGATGATAAAACAGTTTCTGTCGAACTTTTGGCACAAAAACATTTCAAATTTATAATTTTAGTCTAATAACTAATTAGTCAACATGTTTAATTTATGTCAATGATGACAGGTATTGGTAATTTCGATATCAAATATCTCGAGAACCGTTACTCGTAGCGGTTTTTTCCAAGAGACCTCTTTTACGTAAAAAACGTCGTAAATGTACATTTTTTAACTAGCTAGTTTTATACAGGTGCGGACGAAAAGTTATTACTCTTCAAACCAGTTAAAAAATACGTAGGTGGCGCCCTCTACAAGTAGGAGCCATATTGACATCGAAATCAAATTTCTCATATCAAAAACCTCCCAGACACCAATTTTCATCCAAATATTGACGTTACTTTAGAAATTATATGGAAAAAATCGAAATAAAAATGAAATTTCTACACCCTGTATCTCCAAAACTAAGCATTCTAGGACATATATTTATATGAACTTTTTTACTTAATTGTATCTGCAAAACATGTTGCCGAAGTTTCCGGAATACAGTTCGAACCACCATTCTGTATATGTTACGGCTAAAATGGACACTTTGCTAGTTTTCAAACTAGTCAGCTATTTTTCAAAAAGCGCTGTTATTTTGTTGGTTAGGTGTCAGTTTGTGGTGTTGGTTTTGCTATTCGTTTGCAAAATAGCTGGCTAGTTTGAAAACTAGCCAAGTACCTATCCATTTTAGCTGTAACATATACAGGATGTCCCAGAAATAAGTGCAAGTATTTTAAGGGGTGGTAGATCTCGATAAAAGAAACATATTTTTTCTTTATTGTTTTTCAAATAAGTCCAAAATAACGTGTTATTTTACTTTGAAAATTTCAAAAAAGAATATTTTTTGCTAAAATTTTGAGAACCACTGGATCTTTTCTGGATTTTCTTTCTTGTAAATTTAATATACTACCTATGTTGCCATATTATCAAGAAATTATGTTTTTTAACTAAAAACTAAAAAAAATTGCAAAAATTTTTTCAAAAAATTCGGAATTTTCAAAATTTTTTCTGGGGTTGAACAATACTTCCAGTTAAAATACTTGCACTTATTTCTGGGATATCCTGTATAATAAGTCTGTAACAATCATCTGACAGCGTATTTTTAATTTTTAATATAATTAAAACAAAAATTAATTGGTGTTAAGATATATATTTTTTTAAATTACTAAAATTGTTTGTTACGTAAAATTATATTATTATTGTTTATGAACTATTACTCAAATGACAGTAATGACAAAACGATTTATATAATTACTAAAAAAATATAAATTTACGCATTTATTTGTTTTTTAGGTGTATAAAATCTATAATTAAAATATTTCAGTTAAAAAATAATTTAATGGTTTAACACACTATACAGTATGTCCCCGGATTTATGCTTATTCTAAAATAGTTAATCCCGTTTATACTTTTCAAAATTTCCAAACCGTTATAGAGAAAATGAAAAAAAACATGAGAATATAGTTGAATTTTCCTAAAAATCAAAACTTGTTTCTCTGGTAATATAGTTTCGATTTCAGTCTTTGATCGATAGAAATTTAATTAACGTCATATTTATTGCTGTTTTAAAATGTTAAAGAAGCACAAAATTTATTTGGTTCAATGCTCCGGAAAGAGTGATAATAGGTATTGGAAAATGTGATACTTTAACAACAGCAAAAATATGACCTTGATCAAAATTAATAATAACCATAAAGAATGAAATCGAAATTATATTACCATAGTCTTTTAATTTTTAGGATTCAAAAAATTCAACTACATCATTTTCTTGTTTTTTCAATTTTCTTAAAACGGTATGGAAATTTGGAAAATTATACACGGGATTAACCATCTTAAAACAAGCAACATTTTTTATGAAGAATGCATTTTTCTCAAAATGTCATGATAATAAAAAAAAGTTTTTCCTCTTGTAAAGACAATCCGGGACATACTCAGAACATAATTTTGCTAACGAGTCATAAACTGCACGCGCTTACCAGACCATTCACGGGTCCTGCAGTATTTAGATCGGGAAATCCCCGAGCGAATTTTCGCATTTATTTAAAAGCAACTAGCGGTGGGAATACCGGTTCCACATGAGTCGCGTTACTTTAGCGACCTTTTCAGAGAAATACTAAAGACAAAATACCGCGATTTTGTAAAGGGTCCCGTCCAAGGTTTCAGAGGCCCTTCGCTGCGTCATATCAGGCCCAGGGCCCCGTTACACTAAAGACGGCACTGTGCACTGTTCTCTTCCTTTAGACAAACTTTAGATAATTTTCCGGATTTCAGAGTTCACTTGTGCGGAATTTCCAAAAACATAGATTTAAAATCCTAAATAGAAAACGAGTTTTTGTTTTAAATTTTTTAATACTTAATACCTCCAATTTCAAAATAACCAATTTTTCATTAAATTTTTTCGTTTAACTATATAGAAACGTTTTGATGCATTTTCTTTATCTTAAATATCCTGATTACGGAGGATGTGCCAATGATACGTAATGATCGCATAAAACCGATGACAAATGAGGTGGCGAAAATAATTAGCTAACATTATACCGGGTGCGTCTCAAAAGTGGCTCATCCCTATAGCTTTTTTGTTTTATAAGATAAAAAAAATGAGATTTGGTATGTTAGTACATGATATAAATT